GCGTCGACGGAGGGGAGGAAGAGGCGTGAGTGGGATACAGATTAAAACTGTTCCGTGCAGATTCGTACCAGTCACGAAATGCCATTACCGAAAATTCGGGTTGGCATCAAACTGTCGTTTAAATCTAATTCAGTGTCGAGTTTCGATCTCGATCTGAGTCATATTGAACGATATTACGGCAAAAATATCATCGTGGATTCGAGCCCTCGTTTACGTTTGTACCACGCGTCGCGGTGCTTTTCCCCTAACATACGAAGATTGACGCCGCGCGTCCCGGACGTGGCACAGGGTGCAAATTGGTGACGAAACGTGTATACACGTAGATTCGCGGCCACTTACACGTGTACGCGCGCGTGCGCGCACACGAGACTCCTAGCCTCGAGCTTGTACGAGAGTACGAGTGTACATGGCCGGTGACCCAGTTCTCGTTCGTGGAACCAGACACGGCATCGGTCCCGTGGTAGAGGGGTAGTTTCTACGCAGTGCGTGTTCCACCCTAAAATTGCGTTTTGTTCGCCAAACGTGTCTTATCCGGAAGTCTTTTTTCTCTTTCGATTCTCGCTTCGGAGTTCTCAATGTTCGCGAATAACGCTTTGTTCTTCGAGCGATACGTAACTATCCCCTCCGGCTATTTTTCTTCTTAGCTCTCCAAGAATGCTTCTTACACCCTCGCATTTGCTCCCGGCTGAATGTGTTAAGTCGGGTGGGAGAAGGCTGCGCCCAATTTACGAATAGCTTTATTCAAATTTTATAGCCAGCCGGTAAGGGGCCCTCGTTCTATCGGGAACATAAATCGGGAAGGATAGTACGATTTACATTCGCGATTTTATGTAGAAATAGTTTTTAAGGCTTACAATGAGAGATGATGCAACATGGCTTTCGTGGCTCTTCTGATCGCTGTAAAAAAAAAAATGAATCTTGTGCTTATTCCGCATTTTTTAATGATGCAGGGATATCGACACATTACGGCTTTGCGAAAATTTAGTCCGCTTGTAGAGGTCGTACAACAAATTGCAACTAGTCATGCGAAATCGAAAGTTTTGATGCAGGGATATCGACACATTACGGCTTTGCGAAAATTTAGTCCGCTTGTAGAGGTCGTGTTAAACAACAAATTGCAACTAGTCATGCGAAATCGAAAGTTCGATAGATAGCAATTACATTCCGATTATACGGATAATAGGGAACTTTACTATATTTCCAATCTCGGATTTCAATCCCAGTCAATAGCAAGACGCAAATAGTAGGATTTATTGATGAAAACATCGGCGAGAGAAAAAGAGAGAGAAAGAAACATTATATATTCTGATATTCTCTATGATAAATAATCCGCAACTGGATTTTTTTTATACTTGTCTAGTCACCAGGTTATAACTTACATTCGGAAATCATAGGTCATCGTGTACTATTGTAGATAATTTTTAATTCAAAAGTTGATTCTTTTTTTTTTCAATTTTGAACTACAATCTGTCGATCTTAATCCTTTAATTGCAATTTTTTGCTTAAGCACAAGAAAATTAAAAATTTGATATTTTTATCTATTCATAAAAATATCATAATGTAATATCAGCATATTTGTGGGGGATGATTTTTTTTACATTATTAAATAGAGATTTGAAAAAACAAATAAAATTAAAATTTTAGTGTAATATATATTTTTTTTAAATTAATAATTAAACAAATTTTTTTTAGTTATTTCTAATCTTTTTAATTTATGTGATAGAATATATTTTTTTATTAGTAAAAATTGTTCTTTTCTAGACAATTATTTGACATTGGTTATGAATGTATTTGATGATCAATTAACGATCGGCTCTTGTCTGATAACACGCTGACTGTTACCACTTTATGACAAAGCCTAATATACGGACGAATATCATACACGAGTTTCGCACTAATTTTGCGTGCCTATCTTTATAACATTTTACACTACAATACTTTTAATGAGAAGTTTGTTTTACAGTTGTGGTAATGGAGTTTGCGTTATATCACAACGATAATATCATACATGGTTTATCTGACATCAAATTTGTGTGGTTATTGCAAAGAAAATAATATCTTTTTTTAACATATTTTCCTCGCGATATTTTATCAAGCAATGTTGATTACATTTTCGCGTTTTTTTTTCAATTTACACTTTCTAATCTCTATTTGCAAAGTAAGAAATAAAACAATATTGTATAAAGGAAAAAAGCACGAAATAATGAACTACAAAGTTGCTTCGTAAAATAGTACGCATTACAAGCGATTTATAAAAACATTAAAATAAAATTAAAAACAATAGGAAATGGAATGTTTTATATATATTTATAAATTAAATTTATAAATATTTATAAGTAAAATTTTTTTTAACATACGCGAATGAAACTATTAATAACTATTAATCTAAACTATTAATCCGCAAAATTACTTTTACATTTTAAATATTAAACAATTTTAATTTAATAATTAAAATTAATTTGAATATTTTAATTAAAAATTAAAATATTTAAATTTTAGAATATAAGTAATGTAATATGACGAAGTTGACGATAATTAATTTATTTTGATGGCCAAGTTTCTCTTAAATTTCTTTTCAACAACTTCACTCAAAGAGAAAGTACTTGATAACAAGAACTGTTGGCAACTGTTTAAACGAGCGTTTCTTGCATTAACGATATTTATCTACGTTACATTTTATATTCAATTATTTTCACTCAATTACGTTAGATTTCAGTCTTCTTATGCGAGAATTTCTTATGCTACGTCGAGTTGATTCTCATTATCATATCAATTCCCGTTTTTTTGACTATTGCAAAAGTAGTAAAACATGTAACCGCGTCTGTACGCTCGTTTCGAAGCCAAGAACTTTTCAAACATTTAAGCTATCCCTGATCGCCAACTTTTTATCTCGTTGACTGCGCAATATGCATTGTCTGACGCGTCACTAGCGAGACCTTTTTAAACTAGACTTTCTCCGATAGTTTGCCGTGTTCATGTAGATTATAAACGAAATGCGGGAATATAGAAATTTATAGTGAAATTTTTATATTTCTGGAATATGATACTTTTCTCTTTCTCTCTCTACACGTGTTCGCGGAGAAAAATCGAACGAATGATAGCAAACAACTATATGAATTGTGTTTTTAACTCCCGTTTATGTGATGCGCGGTCTACTTTGAAGTCACATTCTGTGCTCCGTTTTTACATTAGAAGTTAATATCTTCAGTTTGTCCCAATTTGAATGCGATGTATTCCAATTGCCGTTTTATTTGCGTAGACATGCAAAAAAATATATGAATGCAAAGATTCAGTTAAATAAGGTATTATATACATATATATAATTGCGCAATATTATGATTTTTATTACAAGAAATTATAAGATAGATTAACAATAAAAAGAATGTTTATTTTCTTGTCAGTAGAATATAATTCGATGAATTTATTTCTTGTTTTATAATGTGATTATTGAAATATTTATGTCTGAGAGATCTTACGATATAGTTACAAATAACTCAAAGATAAATGTATATAGAGAGAAAACAAAGCTAATAGATTTAGAATTTCTCTTTCCGCAACAATGTAATACATACATCTTATTACGTTTGCTGCGCATACATGTCGATTTGTTATGTGCGCGTATAAATTCTTTGTTATGCGAATAATACTGGTACAGACCTATTATTAAACGATACGGTGAAGATATTCATCGCAATGTTGCTTGTTAAAATCCTATCCTTAAAATGCATGCGCGGTATTCTCCGCAAAGGAAATAGGATAGTAGGT